CTTAACCCTTTATTTTGCTCACTGGGTTAGACTGTTCTAGTTCCACGTGCCATGTTTAATGGGTGTCAGTTATCAGTTATGTCCTGTTAATTTCCCTCTGAAAGTTCTCCACTGCCTTAACCGAGTATTGAACTCACACTCTTTGTGTCCTGTCACTGGATCTAACTAATGTCTTTATCCACTTTGACATGTGTTCTCAAGCACAGTGGAATTAGGGCGTTAGTTAGAGGATCCGTGACAACACAGATTATGGATCGAGGAAGTCCCAAATCCGTTAGTACGCCTAAACATGAAGAACACATTCTACAGGCTGTCGGAGACGATCCAGAATTTACGTACCTATGTTTACAGATTTTTTTCCTTGTTTTGGTGTTGGGAACAGTCCCGTAAAGTTTATAATAGTATTTTTGATACACTGTATATACATATTTTTTAAAGTTCGTCTGTGGATTCAGTTCGCTCACCTTAGCAGATCTATTGAACAAGACAAGAAGTTTACCCCTTGTTTCCTGTTTAGAATTGGATTTCTGGTTCCTGCTAAAGTCTACGACTAAAACTCTTAAATTTTATTTACCATTACTTTTCTTTTTTTCCTTCTTTCCTCAATAGGAGAAGATGTGTTCTCCTGTTTCCCGTTTCACAGACCTTCTTGGTGTAGACGTATACCTAGGTACCTTCAATAATTCTCTTCGAAATTTAGGCTAAAATTCTTGTTTTTATTTCGTCAGCGAGGGCAGCATAGATTGGTAATGGCAATTTAAACTTCTTTTTCTGCGGTAAAAGATTGATTTGGAAATTCTTGTAAAAATTACATAATTGTCGGATTTTAATGAAATTCTTAGGACTTATTCATAAATGAATTAAATTATTTTAGAAACTTTTTTTTTTTTTAGAAATATATAATTTCTTTTACATTTATCAACCCCAGCCTTACTTAATGAGATTTTCAAAAATTAAACTTTGTCACTCTTCATACTTAGATTAATTAAAAGCAGGAGTCCTTGGAGAATGAAAATCATCGATTTGTTTTGTCAAACAGTTACTACTTTACCGAAAAGATTTTTTGAATCGTAAAATAAAAAAAAATCAAACTAAGATATTAATCATTTAATTAGAAAAGATTTCAATTGCTTATATTAATAATATATTAAGGACATTATTGTTTTAAGTAAAGAAATTCGATGAATAATGAATTTTTACAAAATTTTAAAAAACTTTTTTTTTTACATTTTATTAGAATAACTCATTAAGTTTTAAATATTTTTCAAAAAAATCTTTTAAAATTTTCTTCTAATTTGTCCATTTTAGGAGACATTATTACTAAGTAAAAACTATATTTACTCATCATACGTTGAAATCTTCTCGAGAGCAACTCTCTGCGGCTGCTCGGTCTCACGTTGACGGCTGACCTGAGATGGAACAAATACATCGAGTCAATTGCTTCGTCCACCGCAAGGAAAGTTGGCTCCCTGAGCCGCGCCAGGAAGTTTTTCTCCCCTGAGTCGATCCTCCAGATCTACAAATCAACAATTCGCCCTTGCATGGAGTATTGCTGCCATATATGGTCTGGAGCCCCTTCTGTTTGCCTCGGGGTTCTTGATAGGCTCCAGAGGCGGATATGCAATGTACTTGGCCCTGCCCTGGCGTCTCGTCTACAGTCACTTTCTCACAGACGCGCCGTCGCCTCCCTCTGTCTGTTCTAAAAATACTTTCATGGAAATTGCTCCGAGGAACTGCATTCGCTGGTTCCCAGACGTCATGAGTTCAAGCGCCTTACGAGGCTGGCATCCCACTCTCACCCCTTCACTGTCGAAACTCCTAAATGTAGCCGTCTCTTCTACTCTAATAGCTTCATGTCTCGCACCTCTCGCCCGTGGAACTCCCTTCCCTATTCCAGTTTCCCTGAGAGCTATAATCTCCAGCAATTCAAGTGTAATGTCAATCGACATCTCCAGTTGCCTTGATCTATACACTACCCTCATCCTTTCTTCTATCACTCCTATCTGATCTTGCTCTAAATTTTCTGTAGCCCCTTGCGTCCTAGTGGCTTCCCGCCTTGCTTGGGGTGAAATGCTTAAAAAAAAAAAAAAAAAAAAAAAGCTAAGTACAAATCCTGAAGCACGAATAATTTAAAAAGAATTTTGAATTGTTTTTATGTGCATAAATATACCGATTTTTGATTTTGATATACGATAGACTATGAAAGGTATTATCAGAAAATAAGAGTATAGCTATAATAAATTTAAAGTCAAAATATATATACCGTAATTCCTCATGTATAATACGCATTTTTTCTAAAAAATAATAAGCAAAATTAGGGCTGCGTATTATGCACAGCTACAAAAAAATCTTGAAAAAATTGCCGTTTCGTGGGTCGATTTCAGTTGCGAAATGACTACTCACCACAAACATACGACAATTTGACACTAACATTCGGCAATTGCGACCTCATAAGGATATCAAATGCAATCATATGTACCTAACAATACTTACAAATGGA